GCTGAGATGAAAGACTCGGGCATGATAGGCCATTCTTCTTTGTTAGTGATAAGCATGCCTTCAGTTGCAGAGTCGCGAGAGGGACTAACAAATACTGTGTCAGTAATGGTGAAACATACAACTACTTCTATCGATATAATATAAAGGAAAGAAGTAAAGACTGAGATGACGACTATAACATCAACATACAGTTTAATCTAGATAAACGAAAATAAAGACTAGTCCTGATTTAAAAATCCAGCCAAAACATTCGTCCAGAGATGAAGCTTATTGGTGGGGGGGGGGGGGAATTCGTGAAAGAAGTGTGATTCTAAATATACATATAAACAAAATTTCAAGGGAAAAGAGCAACACCCAATTTTTAACCCCCAGGCATGACTGAGGCTTCAACTATGAGCAGTTTATGGTATTTAAAAATGGCACTAACTAAAATCCATTTTCTCTGGTGACTTAGCTGAGGCCCCAACGATGCTCATGAAAACAAACAGCGAAATAATGTATGGGCAAATGAGTACAGAATATTGCGGAAGAAAAAAGTGAACCTTAAGTGTAATGAAATTAGATTAGTATGATTACTAAAAAAACCTCATATATGAGTAAGTAGAACATGACGTCGCCTAAAAAACAACTTTCCAAAAATCTTGGGACTTGAGAAAAGAATTAATTTCCCACAATGCAAACAAAAAGTTTGGGCAAAAGTCGCAGTTCCAGATGTCGTACCATCTCTCAAATCTAAGATTCAGTACTAAAACAATCCAATCTGAAATCGAGATATAGTGTATGGTGGTCGAATCCGACCTGAAGAATTGTGTGTGGCCTCGATAGAGGAGACGTTTCCATGAGTTTTTATTTTTCATAACTAAGATAAACAGGCATTTAGTCAATCACTCCAATTTGGAGAATAACGTAAATGCTCATTTAATAAAAGCGTTCCAAAACACTAGGCCTTCAAACTTGCAGGAAAAAAGCGATTGAGGCAATTAAGCGTTTCGAAACCAGCTGAGGAGAAAAAAACTTACAAGAACCAAAATTAACAATAGAATGCCAGTAAAATAGTGATTTCTGAATTACATTGATTTACTAGGGCAGCCAGTAAGGCAATGAGAATCTAAATGTTATACCCGCAAGAAAATGAACATTGAACTAGGCACCTCTGATTTTAGAGAGGTGCAGGTTATCGTTAGAAAATATGCTACTCAAGTAGTATTTGAGTGATCACTAGTGAGCTATAGACTACTGAGCTGATTCAACTTACGGCGATCTAGAAGCAACACATTTTTCAATCATCTCCACTTCCAATGGATGTTTATGTCCATCTACAACGCATTCTTCAATTATATTAGGCCATTTTTCTGCATCGTCGGTCGTTCTAAAAGCGATGAGGAAGAAGAGAGGTTGAAAGAGATCAATCTATCACCGCATATTTCTTTCCAACAAAATCACGCCCGAGGCTTTGAACCAGATTAAAAACATGTGCCAACAGCAATAGAAGAAAAATTTTGCAATACAGTTGCTTCATGTGTTGGTCCATAAGATTGAATATTCAAATCAACCAGGCAATAGCAGAATAGCGGCAAACTTATTGAAAAGATCCTATTCACAACTTACGATAAGTTAATAAGCGGTCCTACAAAATAGGCTTTCTCTTCGGTCTCTCAGTTAATTGTGCCAAAGGAATATCGTCCTCACCATCATTTGACATCCTAATTATTTCTTCATAACGAATCCACTTACCGGATAGGATTGTTTGCTCTTTATAGGTACAAACTTTCATACATACGCAGGTAGTTCCTTTAAATCAGCTATGCATACCAGACAAATATCATTCCTTCAATCCAGTGGGGGCCAGCCCACACCACATCGATTACTCCATGGCTTTTAAATTTGGTTGCATTTTTTAACACAATCCAATATTCACTCATGACTAGTTGACGCTTATCCCCTGTTCAACCTATTCAGTTTGTCCAATCTCTACCTTTCCATTCGTCAACGGTTGTGCGGTATATCATTGCTCCCGACTCAACTCTTATTCTCCTGATTTGAGTCTCTTACACCTTATCCAGTTAATCAAGCCAAATAAAAGCTGCTTTTGTCACCACGACTACTTCATCTTGACATTTTCGCACTTCTCCTAAGTTTTGAATTGATACTACTCTGCAAAACATTATGGCCAGAAACGACTTCGTGTGCCCTTTCTCTGATAGCTTTAGATACCACAAAGACAGGGGTGGTTAAACACTCTTCCAGTAGGAAGATATTCCTAACATTCGAGGAGCGTGCAGAAAACGCAGACGATTAAAGCCAATAAAAGAAAGATTTGAAAAAGCGAAGGCAGTTCAGTGGATCACTCCAATTAGTATGATACATACTGAATCTGTGAAGTCCACATTTTAGTGGTTGCGTAAGAATATAATAGTCGAAAGAGAAAATGTGAGAGCTATATGTAACTTACTACAATCTACTAGTCAACTTTGCAGAATGGGCTCTTTCCTTAACTTCTTTGGTCAATCGACCCAAAGGAGCAGCATCTTCGACACAATTTCTCAACGGCATGACTACTGCCCTGGTTTCCCGATTGGGAACCATTCTACATAGACGACAACAAGTGTCCGACTTCCGGAAGAGTTAAGAAGAGCGAAATCAATCTGCTAGCGATCGATCAGCCAGATCAGTATGGCGCATATTGAACCAGATAAATGCGTTTAAGCAAAACGTGTGCAAAGCCAGAACGGAAAGCAGAAAATTAACAAGAGCTGGTTCACAACTTACGAAAGTCTTGTAGAATGAGCTCTCCCCTTGATTTCCTCACTTAATCGGGCCAAAGGAACGTCATCTTCATCATCTTCTCTCATATTCATGACTATTTCTTCCCGATGTTTTGATTCTTTCAATGTTTTAGGTCTAATGAAAGAAAAGGGTAGTTAAACCCTTCTATGGCAAAATAACATCTTCAACACCGGCCCTTAGTGCTGGCGTAAAACATGCCCGAACTGTCGGCATACAACTTGCAGTCTAAATTTTGTACTGATCAAATGAAAGTCTTTACAAACTATCCCCTTGTGCAAACAGAGCGTAATTAATATAGTACCTCCTCACGACCACAACTATTAGTAACAAAAGAGAATAATCATGCGATCAATGCCCATGGAAAACATCGAGACCAAGAAGCCAACAAGATAGAACTAATCCAGTGCAGAACAATACCAAGCTTAATAGACAACAATACTAAACTGAGGGGATAAGACCAAGCTAAGAATAGTAAGATGGACAGGCATTCCGATATCATTTCACAAAACCCTGGACTATGGCGTTGATCATTCGAGTATTAAACTAGGGACGCCTAGGATTAGACAGAGGTGTAACAAATGAATAGAAGGTATAACTTACGAATTCGAAGGACGAGTACCTCCGTTAGCCGCTGTATTTAATTGAATCAACGGAACATCATCGTCACTCATTTCCATTGTTACATCTTTTTGTTGTTCTCGTTGCTGTGTGACGCCTTGATCCAACATGTTGGGACCTTTTCCTCTATAGGAAACATAAATGGCACACTAACCTCATACTATCAATACTGCCAATATAATACCACTTAGTCATTTAAATCTGCATAATAGGGAAATCGCTTAATAATATCTTAAGATAATATACCAAATGACTTTCAAGAACTGGTCCTAAGGCAGGGGTTAAGAGATCGATTCGCAGGCTGTGACCTGGTAACAAAATGCGAGTTTCTCAAATGAGTGGTTTTAAAATAACATTTGCGAATCCACCTGAGAAACCGGAATTAGGAAGTATCAATCTACCACTACAAGTCATTTCAGTCCAACAAAAAGCCAGTGAATGTCTAAATTGAGGTTAAACGTACGGGGCTCGGACGGGACTCGTAGGGGTGGATTTCCTCTTAGGACTAGTAAGCCGAGGCACGACGGCGTCGTCTGAGTGCTTGATTAACTTTACAACCTCTTGCTGACGTCGGCGTTCTTGTCTTAGGTGCGATTCAGGCATGACTGGCCAAGTTTCTGCATCTGAACTGGCCATGCATTCGGTTAAGGAAGCGGATGAAACGTCCGATTCATTGCCCTCTTCAGCGGCTTCAGAAGTCGATTCGTCCTCGCCAATTTCTCCTTCGCTAGCTGCTAGACATCGCTTGGGAGCTAAAGTAGGCAACAAAGTCACAATGAGCTACCGAAATGGCGGTGCGTTAGCGACATCTGCATCGCACTAAACCTAAGTGAAAAAATTCCGCATGAAAACAAGCCAAATAAAAGGGAAAAAGAAGCCATCACGCTACTCAAGTTAATTCACAGATAAAATGTAATATTCCGACTTGGTTCTGTATTTTTGTTGTTGAAATAAGGTTGAAACAATGAACCAAAAAGAGACGTTGGCAATTATTCTCCAGTAGAGAATATTCATCTATGCAAAACTAATAATTTGATAGTATTGATAGAGAGGATTAAAACTAGTCAATAAGAGAGTGTTAAACTAAAATTTCACTAGGAAAATCGCCCTCTTTGCAAGGCGAGTTTTGAAGCCAACACACTGAATTTAGTTAGGGTAGCGTTTTGTGAGACACAACCAAAAGAGCTATTGAAGAAAACTTACTTCATCCAAGGGTAAACTCTTACCTTCAAATAAAGTGGGCCATATATATATATATATATATTATTACGCAAGAGAAGCTACATTAAATAACACATATATTAAAATATATACTATGCCAATAATATAACAAATAGACGACCACCATGAAACCAAAAAAACCATCTAGCAAAGTCTAAGGAGTAAAGAATACCGTCACAAAAAGCAGGTGCAGAATTTTCTTCAACGTTTCCCTCCGTCGTTTCTGTTATAGAGCAAAAAAAATAGTACAATGAATACATCGTAACGTCACAAAAAAAACCAATTAACGAAGAGCACAAAAAAACACTAAATGAAAAAAAACAGCAAATTCTATCCAAGTAATGGAACTACTATAACCTGCTACGGTATTCTCTTCAATTTGTGGTTCTGTTCTTTCTTCCGAAGCTGTGACGACTGGTGATTGAAGCTGTTCAGGAGCTGAATCGATGAAAATAATTAATGCATTATGCTTTAATCTAGCTATAGGAAGGCAAACAAAACATTTTCGTATTTTCAATTATTGAATTTCTACGTCAGCGACTGGTCAGGCCAAGCCACAACTAACGGGGAAATCATTTACCATGGGTCCAAATTCGTACGAAGCAATTAAATTTTCCAATAAAGAAACACCTTTGGCTTTTTTTCCTAGGGTCTGAGTAAATGCAACTTCGTAAAGGCGGAAGTGAGAGTTAGAAAATATCTCTAGCGCTTTTTGTGCACAAAATCTGAAGACGCAATTAGCAGTAGTAGGTAAAATCCAAAAAGCCCATCGTGTAACTTGTTGATAGGATGCAATTAAAACGAGCTCCAAATCTTCAACTCCCACCGAGACATTGATGAGGGCATGAAAGCGAATAAAGTTCTCAAGGTTCCCACACTCTTAATGATAAACAGAATACTATGCATATCCGTTGAGATCGATCAACGTCGTACCTATACTTAATACGCAACAAGTTCATCTTCGTACTTAGAAGCACGATGATCGAGAAACTCATCAATAAACTATTGTAAAAAATCTCAGTTCTAAACGCGTTGCTAGAACAAAACCTAATTTACCAGAAAGTTAATTTCCCAATTACATAAAGCATTTTAAAATTGCTCGATCATTTACATTTCATTGACAGCCTATTTGATAAATCTGCTCTGACGGGATGAAGAGGCCTCTTTCTAGGTCTACCCACTGCTCCGGGTCTTCGAGGCGCTGTTGGCATTTTAGAAACGGACTGTACGCTTCGTAGATTAGCTCCCAAACCACCAGAAACAGTCCAAACTGAGGGGGGCACATCATAGGGATCTTGCCAACTATTTAAATCATTCACGAACTGGATAACCTCTTCAGAGGTGGGCGATAGTTGATTTTCGGATTGTTCAACTGAAGAATTTGGGGAAAGGATCTCAGGTTTGATATCACCTGTTTCAGTAGGAGTGGTGGGAGTGGGTTTAGAAGGCTGTTGATGTTCCGAGGGTTGGCATTTCGCGGCCTCCTGACGCTGGATTTGAGCCCAAATATCATCCATGTGGTGGTCGAGTTCTCCGCTTTTTACGCGTTCCAACATGGACTTGAGGAGACTGAAGAGAAAAATGGTGACGATATATAAACATTATGGTTGTCACTAGTAAGGAATAGATGAAGTAAATCAAATGAATTCTACAGATTCACCGACCGCATTCATTATAACTACCAGGTATCTTTATGAAAATACCATGGAAATGATTCGTTACATGGCTATTTACAATGCTCTAATAAACGTAGATATTCGTTGATTTCTATAACTATGCCTTTTTTAAAGATGCGAAAAACCTGGAGATATATACACATTAACATTTCCAATTAATTGCAATTATAATCAATAATGTTAAACAAGAAGTATCACAACGATGACGCATCATAGACATGACGGGAAAAACTATAATGAAATCAACAGGAAACTGTTGATTTTTCCTTTGTTCGGCCAATCCTACTTGGGCACCATAGAACAGAAACTAATTATGGTTTATTCTCCTCCTGCTAACCACAATCCTAATTGCACAAATTGATTTGGTCTGATCGGAAAATTTGATTAGCATTGTCGACGAGTTCGTTTTTCCTTAAATCTAGGTACTGAGCGTCAGTGATACATCTTACAAAAGATGACCTTGAGCCCGGATTACAAAACTAATAAAAGAAAGAATATTTTATGAATAAAGTAACTTTTGAGATTGAAAGACGGTTAATACTACGTAAACACGTTTTGTTTGTAGCACACTGCGGTAGCTATCATTAATAAAGGACAACCAATTTCGGAAGATCCAGAAAAAAGGACGAGAAATAGAGGGGGGGGGGAGTGAGAATCGAGCGCATGTAGCGCTTGTAATGTAACCGACATGCGTTGCTGAAATTTCCACTCGAACACAAAGTTAATGTCAAAGCGGGGAATGAACATCGCTAGCCAGTACTCTTCAATTAAGAGGATTGAAAACAGTTAAAAGAACTTCGAAAAAGTCAACACATCTCCTTTCATCAAAACGACTTGAAGTAATAGTAAGCAAAAGAATTTTTGACTCATTAGGGTTGAAAAATTTCACAAAGAGCACATCAGAATGCTTAGAAAATGGGAAGGCAAATGTCCATATGTCCAGAAAACAAAAGTACGAAAAATGGAATACTTTAAACAGTGAATTACTCATGAACGTGACTAAATTAAGCTAATTAAAGAAAGCTCTTATTTGTAAGCATTCAACTTTTGATGCAAGAAAGCAAACTGGGGCACAGAGGCTAAATTAGCGAAGCCCACCTAATCAGAGAGGTAATGGCAAAAGAGAAACGCAAAAGAAATTTTCCCACTGACACGCAAGTGGCAGTAGCTTTAAATACATGGAAAGGCGAAATTCAAGGAAAGGTTGAAGGCAAATCGTTAGAACAACTTCAAGACAGTGCTGAATTGTGTAAACTCATTTTCAGTCACCAATCGTACAAAAAGAAATTAAATATTAAAACATACATGCGTAATTGAAATTAATAGTTTATGCAACCTTAGTGAATAATAACAAATAAAAACGAGCCTACCTATGCTTTTCCCTTGCCTCAAGAACATTGGCCCGAAGCTCCTCAATCCGTTCCACAGTGAGACGCTTGACGATGAATTCGGGAAGACTTAGGCCAACAGTGGCTGTGAGTGCAGCCACGTCACCAGGTGCCTGATATACTATGCGTCCTTCCTCAGCGCTCTTCTCAACATCAACCTGAAAAATGAGGTCACCACTGTAACAACTTAAACAGCTTTAATCTCACTTGCCATGCAAATATGGCGCATATGTTATTGTAGAATGAGACATAAGTTAAATAAAAATGTAGCAGAGTGCTAATAAATGCCAAGCAGTAGTGGTAAATGGAGAGGGTAAAAGCGGACGGGCAGATCAATGTGGTCATACATATTGATTGTATAATCTCATATCAACTTCGGTTTGGAAGACTCATTGTGGGTAGAGTCTGTGTTTCTTAAGAATGTGCTTCGACGGCTCCATTTGAAAATGTATCAATTCATTGAAATTCTGTCTTTTTCCAAGTGCGCAATTTAATTTTGCAACAAATAACTCTCAAGCTCATTAGAGAAAACGTCTTCTAAGGCTCTTTTTTTGAAGAAACTCGCTTTCTATCCAACCTTATGCACAGTAAGAAAAACAGAGGTCGTAGACCCAACCAGGCTCTAAGATACGAGAGATATCGCTGTTACTTCAATACATCGAACGAACTGAAAAATTTTCTCCCAATCACGAACTTCCAACACAGCATAAATATTTCCCGAATCCGCATTTTAAAATCATTAAAATTCATCTTAAAGAATTTCAAAAAACCTGTTGTTTTTTGAACATCTCCGCAGATTCCAATAACAAGGAGTATTGTTTGGCACAAGCCTTCGCCGAACACCAGGTGGAAGGCCTAGTATGGCCGCCGCAACTAGGAGGTGGGGGAGTAAATTTAAAAAGGCGCCTCGAAATAGGTGGCCAAGTCAGCTGTCTATTATCCGTATCCAGGAGAGACGAAGCCAACAGGAGTCTTTCTCTCAACGGCCAAACTCCAGTCGAGCACCCAGGACGAAGAAGATCAAGCGAAGGGCCTATAACAACGGAGCCTGAGGTCGTTCCCTTCCTGGTTTCTGGTGAAGTGTTCGAACCCACAGCGCCATCTGAGTCGGGATTACTTCCTGTTTCAGCCGCCGCTGCTGCCGCGGCCGCTTTTCGAGCCGCAATTGCAGCCCACGGGGTCCCTCTTGATTCTCCATTTTGAAATCTTCGCCTACGTTTACGCGATACAGGTCTTCCATAGGGCATATTTAAATCTTTAAAAAGAAACATAGAAAGCATTTATAACCAAATCAACGTTGGGTTGCTTAAGAATGACGTAGAAAAAGTTAAACCGAGCATTTATTGAACACAAATACATATTACACACAACTACAAAATTAAGAGATAGTTCATTTAACAGATTGCGATAGGTTCACAATGGTCAAATTTAGAGAAAAGTATGCTGATATCGGAGGAAGAGGTTGTGAAAAGACGGGAATCGTCCCTCGAGACAAAGAAAGGGTTTTAAAAGATGATTCTGTGGTATTTTGAAACAACTTAAAAATCACTGCTCGATGGATCGCGTAGAAGGGAAGCACAGCCAGAAGTGAATTCGCGAAGATTAGAAATGAATTAACTTTGAGAGAGAAATCCGGAACACGAGAGAAGATTGTCTTCAAAAAAAAACAATCGAAAAAAACTAAAGAGGAAAAAATGCGATTTATCAATAAACCAGTAAATCAACTACGACTATCTCACAGAAGGCAGTACCACTTGGCCAGTGACTGGACAATAGACCAAAAAAAATCGCCTCCGAAAAAGACACATAAAATTATAGAAATTTAGTTGTGATGAGGTAACTGGACTCGAGTAAGTGATTAATAATACGTAAGGAGTAGGAAACCAATATAGAGATTGAAGGTCAAGGAGAAAGGAGTTTGAAGAAGAAGGGGTGTGCGATAGACTTACCTCCACGTGGTGCACCCTGGGCAACGTATACTCATACGGGAAAAAAGTCTATCAATGGACAGTTGACTTCTGACTTCAAACTGCCATGACCCCACTCTATGTCATATTCGACTACTTCCACAGTACTCACCTCACTTTTGTTCTACCTTTGTGTTTGTCTCTTACATCTTTGAAACACTCTTCTGTTCCCCCCCCCTGTCGACTTTTTCAGTTTGATGTTTCTTCCCCTCTGTGAAGCCTGAAGTCAACAAAAGGGCTATTGATAACCATCAAGACGCCTGCCATTTGATATAAATAAATAAGTTTAAAGAAGAAATATTTGTAATCGGATTGTTAATTATTTACTCAATAGATACTCTCCTCATTTTACCAAATTTAAATTTTCTGATTCACGTAAGACATTTAAGTTTAAGAACATGAAATAATTTAGAAAAAACTAACCGATAGCTTTTCTGTGATGCTCGTACATGTCTAATGCTCGCTCCTAATTTTGTACCCAACAAGGGGTGTGCGATAGACTTACCTCCACGTTGTGCATCTTGGGCAACGTATATTCATACGCCAAAAGTCTATTAACCGGCAGTTGACTTCTTACTTCAAACTACAATGGCCCCACTGTATGTCATATTCGACCACTTCCACAGTACTCACCTCTCTTTTTTCTCTGCCTTTGTGTCTATCTCTCTTCCGCTCCCCACCTCTCGTTACAATCAGATGGATGTGTGGATTCCGCCAAACGCTGTGAAGGTGGTGGACAAATAAGCCATTTATTTTCCGTATTCAGAAGGGGTCTTTGATTTCATGCTAATCCCCCCCCCCTCCCATTGAATGTCTTCACCGAAGTAAATCTAGCGATTGGGACAATCATGAAGCCAATTGCCTTTGTTGCCTTGCTTCTACGAATTTCGTGCAGCACATCAGGGTCACGGTTACTTCCTGTCACCATCACCTCCACAGCTTCTTTACGAAGAGACATTGGTGCCCAAGAGATTTCTCTCTGCTTCTTGAATTGACATTTCCATCTACGATTGCGCGATCCTGATCTTCTATATGGTATAGTTACTTCTGCAAAAAGTACGAAAAGCATTTAAAATGGCATCACTCTTTACACTATTAAGAAATGAGAAGAATTTGTTAAAATACTTATTTATTACAAATACATATAATAAATATGATAGCTCTTAAAAACATATAATAGCTAAGAAAAGAGAGACTGGTCAGTAAGGTAGATGAGACGACGAGAGACTTCAAATTGGCCAAATTTAGAAATAAGTGTTTGAACGTCGGAGACCGAGGTGGATAGGAGATGAGAATCATCTCTAGGGAGCCAAAGAGTACAATTACCGGATGTTTCCAGGTACTTGGAAGCCACTTCAGTGTCTCCACTCGAGGTATGGAGTAAAATGGTAGCAGCTTCGGGAGTGAGTTTATGTTGCCGGGTAAAGGAGTCGAGCTGACGAGTGAAATGCACAGCGCGGGAGAGGAGAACATCGTTAGAAACTCGAGGTTGGGCATGCATTAGAGGGAACTAAGGAAAAAATAAGCACACGAATTATTGTCCATCGAAGTGAAATGTTGGAGACAGCACAACATATGAGACTTCAAATGGCAAAAATAAGCTTACTCATCATCCTCAATCAACTATTAAACGACAATTTTTGAGTCTATTAAGACAAAAGCTTCTGGGCATTCAGGTGAACAAAATCCAGTGAGAAGCAAACGCGGAGGATTACGAATACTAACACATGTAAGATATCATCATACTGGCGATTTGACCATTAGAAAAATGAACTATTGAAGCCTGAATACAAGGTTAAACGAAATACGTTTATCGTGATAATCCTATTGAACTATGATAACGGTAAAGGGTTAGTAAAAGGATTAGGTAGAATCTATTTACTAAATGGAGAATTTATTTCGCATTACACAATTTGAAACTCAAATTACACGATTTACCCTTAATAGGTGTACAAACATTATCAGAAAAAAGTTGTTTGGAAGACTTACCTGAAATGACTGAACATACATGAAATTCGTTCCTAATTTTACAATAAAAATTAAAACTTTAAACTAAATGCCTTGAAAGAAGAAGCCTCATATCATTTTATTTCTTTCTTTAACTATTCACTTGTTATCTCATTTTAAACGCATATAAAGTTAGACTGGGTAAATCTTTATGGAATGATATGGGTCTATTGGGAATTTCGCAATAAACTCTAAGCTCTGTGGCGTTCTTTCGCTTTCCACAAAAGAGTTTTGGAAAGAGCGTTATCTTGACGGACTGAAAAAGTAGAGAATTTGTAAAACCAGTATAAGAACTCTCCACCAAAGACCATTGATTCAGGATAAACCAAAACAGCGACACTCAACTGATTCCCTTAGATAGCCATGCGGTCAAATTTCAAAAATGACGCCCTACCCAACGAGCACACAAAACATCCGACTAACTAGTTTTAATTCGCTGAAATTAACCGAAAAAAACACAAAATCAGGATAAAATCTTCCGATTCGAGCAAAACAAAGTAAAAAGCACAAAAAATAAGGGGATGTTTTGGAATTTTGAAAAGAAGTCAAAAACTTTTCCTCCTCCATTCCGTTGAAAATAAATCAAAATGGTAAAAGCATTGCAAAATATTGGAATCAAACAAAAAAGAGGAACAGCAAAGTAGAGTAAGTGGGAAAGCGTGCGACACTAGTCAGCTGGTCAACAAAAAAACTCAAAATATAAACAATGTAGCAAGGGAGAGAAGACAAATTTGAAGATGTAGGAACTTTGTATAATGATATCCAGGTGCACAAGGTTATTCAATAGTTCGAATGAACAGTTTCTTCACAAAGCATTCTCTTAACATCAAAGGAACCAAACCCACTCTTAAATGTTACTATTGTCAAGGAAAGAATTGTTTAATAATTTGCTGTTTCCTTTACACATAGACAAACAAAAGAATCAAGCCAGTTAACAAGAAAACAAGCTACAATGACACTACTAAGACATACATGGACGTAAAACTAAACCACATTCAAAGAATAGCAAAGATCAAATGAATCCAAGTCATACACACCTTTGTATGCTCATCCCAATAGTGGAAAATTATAAAGAACTTTTTTTCAAGAATTCCTTAATTCCATAAAAGCGTAGTTAACAATAATCAATATCTCGATCTGAATAAAGAACAAATAAAAAAATCAGAAAACATCAGGCAACCACTAATATTTGGGAAAGCGTACACACAAAGATCTAGAACTAGTTTTCTTTCAGCAGAAAAATGTAGATGGAAGATCGATGAAAATTAAAGTACAAGCAAAAGCAAGAATCGAATTAAAATACCGGCGATATGGGACATCTATCTAAACATAGATGTGTATAAATGAAAGACATGCAAGTCTTCTAAGCTCAGTAAGTCCCCATTCACTACAAACAAGTGTTTTCCAACCTTGAACATTCAAGCGTTCGCCAATCGGTACATATTCAACCAAGCCCTAGATTCGATAATAGATATATCGATTAATATTGCAGACTTATGACATTCTGGACTATTACTACCAGTATCGGTCTACAAGTATGAGAATAGGAAAGCTTTAACTGTTATAAATCAGGGAATTAGGGTGACAAGAGTCTTTCAAAATAAAGCCCGATTGATAATAGGTAATAAAGCAGAAGTTAAATACGGTTACGGCATTAAAACCCCCTAACAAAGATAAATCTCATCAATGCAGGCTATAAAATGCAGTATAAATGCTAAAAAATATATGGAAAAAAACGTGAGAGCCTAGGTAAAGCAATTGTAAAGTTAAGCATTCAATTATAAGTGATTTGGTGAAGTATTAGCTGCATAAATCTACTCTACAAAATAGCAATGCAAACAAGCTGTGATATAAAAAAAATACTACGCCTCACCTTCGAAGAGTCACTGTCTGAAGCAACAGACAATCGCTGAGAAGAATGAGATTGTTCCCCTAAGCCAGAGATTAAGATAGGACCATCTGGATTAGACTCGGTAAATGTGTCTGGAATCACTTCTATAATATGGGGCGCAGTTACTCCCTCCACAGAAGCGCGTTTCGGAGATGGCAGCTTATTTTTGTTCAAATTTATTTGGTCAGTTTCAAAACTAACCCGACGCCGTTTCGACTTTTTCGAAGAGTCAGAGTCCATTGAAAAAAAATCCTCATCGTCTACTTCCCTGGCATTTTGACTAACAATTCTTTTCGAAGACGAGCGCTGCGCATGAGATTTAGTCGATGTCCCAGTCTTATGGATCATCTGCCTTTTATTTCTTGCCGGGGATCGAGAAGGCGATTCTGTAATAAGCACAATGTCATCATCTGAATCATCACGATAGGTGAATAAACGATGTCGAGGTCTAAGACTTCTTTGCTGATCTGATGGACTGCTTAGAGATAATCTCCGAGATGTCAAAGGTTTCGCAGATTTGATAGGCGTCTTAGGGATGTCCTTCAGAGGAGTCTGACTAGATTGAGAATCATCATAATCCACTAATTTAATTGGTAGTTGCAGAAGGGGCGACTTTCGTAGACTTGGTGATTTTGGCCTGTCTTTCGGGCTCAATAACTTCGACTTGATGTTTGAATTATCGTAAGGTGATTCATCACTAGTATAATAGGAAAGATCCGATAAAGCGAGAGGAGAAGAATCATCAGGATTGTTTTTGGGACTTCGAGAAGATGCAAGAAGTTCTGAATGGATTTTCCTAACGGTAGAAGAATCGGAATATTTTGCCTTTCCCTCCGCAGTACTGTGCAACACCTCAGAGAAGTGATAAATAATACTGTTGAAGAAACGAAGTCGCATAGAATCAGCAGAATGAAGAAAAATACCAGAACTTTCCATTGATTTCCAAGTGCCAACACGGCGAATTTTTCTATAAAAAAATCACCATCAAGTTAGTTAAAGCATTTAAAAGAAAGAACAACAAATACTAGCTCACTTGAGCAAATTCTGAGTTATAACATAATCTAGAATTGCATAGTCTTCTGCTTCTGTGTAACGATGGCGGCTGCTATTAGTTCGCTTTATTGGACGATCGTTATTTTTACAATTTGAATTAGATTCGGTACTGACTTTAACTCCGGATGAGGCTGAGTGGGGGCTCTGGGACGTTGAACTCGACCTTTCTCTGAAGGTAATAGACGGATACCTTGAGCGAAGTTGAATACCTGGACGATTTGATTGACTAACTCGAAGCGTACGTGAACCTATTTTCAATAAAAAAGATCAACTACTTGATGTCAGGCTCAATATATTTAAATTAAATGGTTTAAAATTCTAAAAACGGACGAAGGCGGTACACTTACGGGTTCGCATCGCGCAGTCGAAAGAACAGTAGCAAGCGTACTATTAAAATCGGAGAAAAATGATTTAAATATTTAAACAATTTTGATGCGAAATTTTTATTCAAAATTTAAATCATTCCGCAACAAAATTTTGGGTGATTTTTATGCGTAATTTTTTTGCATGAATTTTTTAGAATCTTAGAAAGTTATGTGAGAAAATAATTATTTACCGAGAAGAATATGATGGTCAGAACAAGATAAATGTCCCACAATAAGTAATTTATCGCGTTTTTTATTCAATATAATAACAATTCAATTTTCGTGATTGCATCGGTTTGATCTTAATATTCCATACTTCGGTTTAAATTTTAATATTCATATCCCATAGACATTAGATCGATTTTCCTCTTCTTTTCAAATAACTTTTTATAGACAAATTTATTTGAGGCGTTATTTATTTGATCACTATGTCCTTACGTTAAATGCAATGTTAGTGACCACTTACTATTTTATGACTCGGTTCTAAATTGATTAATCTTAGAAATAATACAAAATTGTATGGTTATTTAAATTAGCAATGAGCTTCATTAGTTTATTATTGGGAAAATATTTGGAGATACGAAATTTATTGATGTCTTCTGGTTTACTATTTACTAATTAACCACGCTTTAATACAGGTAGCATCGTTACAAAGTCATTTAATTTCTTGAAAGAAATATTTGTAGGAACCTAAGATTAAAAACGTTTCCAGAAAAAAATATTTCTGTCAAAACACTAACTGATTCACTTAACAAGGAAATAGGAAAATGGCTTTAACTAACTAATATGAGTTCGGTAAATAACTAAATTGTGAAGAATTAACTTCATTTTATTGTAACATATTGCACTATGTTTTAGCTTCAAAGACAAATAAAATTTTCAGTCGTGTGCAGACCATCCAACAATTCATCTTAAATATATTGCATCTCTATTTATTTTATTGACCAGAAAATATGCTTAAATCAGGAATGTCTTTTATAATCCAATGAACATTTCCTAGCTCTTCGGATCATGGATACTTAAGAGTTTCAGTACCTTGAATTGACCCTAATAGTGATTTATTACTAGAAATCTGATACTTATTGGTCAATATATTTGTATTAAATCGAAGTTTAAAATAGAAATGTAAGTACATGAGTGCCGGAAACTAACCAAGGTCTTCGATTTAGTAAATATATCTACACGATATTTCAGCAAATTGAATATCCGATTACAAGTGTCCCGCGTGCCTATTCCTCATTCAAGCCTTCCTAACCACTTCTCGCATTTTCGTCAGTGCCATTGGTTCTCCCTCTATTACTGCTATTGGTTTCATTGTGATTGGCGTATAAGATTTAAATGATAAATGGGATTGGTTGATTTACTCTAGCTTCAGTTCCATTAGTGATAGCTCTCGGCACGACAGTTCTTACACTTTTCTTAGGTAAGCTTGTATTTTTAATAGTCATTAATTTTAACGTTTTAAGCAATCTATTAAAGATTTATGGAAAATTATTGTTGTGTACTTACGGATTGCTTATTGGTATTGCTTTACTTCGAATACTTTATTGCAATACATTCTATTACAAATTGCTTTCTATATATTTTCTGCCTATTTTGTTTTCTTATTTCAGAGCAATCTATGTTTGTATAGCCAAATTTTTCTGTGGTATCATTTTTTAATGTATTTTATTTGTTTTTTGTTACGTTTTGTACTTTGCTTAGTGAGTCCCAGATAATAGAGATGTGGTAGTGGACTTAAAGTTTCTTGTGCGCCTTTTCGTAATATTGTGTTTGTACTACTTCCAAATAAACTATAAAGATAACTTGTCTGCCTATTTTTCACATGGGGTCTTTTTTATCTAGACCATCTTTTATAAACTCATTTAACCATATTTAGATTATCCTTCTTTAATATATATCTGTCATTAGTATTAAATGTTAAACTTTCTTTGCTCTTACGTTTTCTCATGCTGGTATACTTTATGTCGAATTAATCTATGCTGGCAATTGCCTTACTCCAAAGTTATTTTTATTAATTATACACCACACCCATACTTAAAATTGCCTTCCCTCGTGATTTGTCCCCTTTCGCACCCTTCTCCTCTTTCCATTAAAACCAATTTCCTTCGGTTTACTTTGTGCTACCGCCCTTCCATTCCCCAAGTACTCACTGAGCAACTACATTCGCACCTTTCCCCTTGGCTAATATTTACATGCATCCTCCTCTTCCTTCATCCTCGTGTAACTGTATGTGTCTTTGTTTTCCCAGACTCTCCTTCATTATGGATAAAATCTGCCTGGATCTCATCAAATCTACTTTCCACGGTGACGAGGTCCACTCCCACGTAGTTGTTGTCCTTGGTGCCTCTGGAGATCTTGCTAGAAAGAAAATTTACCCCACACTTTGGTGGCTCTATCGCGACAGACTTCTTCCCCGAAAGACCTACTTTTTTGGTTACGCCCGTTCAGATATCACTACTGATGATATTAGGAAGAAATCAACTCCTTATATGAAAGTACAGCAGAATAAACCGGAAGAAATGGAAAGTTTTGAGAAATTTTGGAAGAAGAATACCTACATTAAGGGTAGCTATACGGAGAAATGCGACTTTGTAGCTTTGGATAAAGCGATTAAGGATAACTATGGTGAACTAGTCAATCGAATTTTCTATCTTGCTCTGCCGCCCTCCACCTACGTGTCCGTTTCATCGCATCTTTCCGAATTTTGCAAGACTACACGGTATTTTTTAAATTTCTTCCTATGTTTACCGCAAAAAAATCACTAGTTACTTAATCTAGGGCTACATTCTCCTTTTCATCTCTCATTCTTTATGTTCTAGCTCTCTCACTTGGTCTTACTCTTGTTTGCTCCTTCAATTCTTTTCTTACATCATTCTTTGCTATCGATTGACGAAAACTAATTATCTGCTTGTCAAAGGTCCACTACTATTGCCCATAGTAAGACTACCGTCTAATATGAGGTTGATTTTCTTATCACCAAGTCTGTGTTACTTAGATAGGGCATGGAGATAATATTTCATAATTGCTCAGGTATAAATTGGTTTTGCTTGAATGTTCTATTTCTACTACATCTAGGTTTCGATTAGTGAGATATGGTTATTATTTATTAGATTCCCTGCGCGTTCCAATTTAATTAGCTTTGTTTTCGAGTATTTTAATTGCCACGGGTGTTTATTTTAATAATTTACCCTTAGTTGGTATCAATTAGCCAGTAATAAATTTATTCCAAGCCCGGGTGTCTTAAACACGTGTTTTAATGAAAATTTTCGAATGAGGCATGTGGTCAACTCGTTTTTTGACACCCTATTTTTTGACATTTTTGAAGTTTGAGCTATTCGCGATGCGTTATATGGACTGACTCCGCATTGTTATCAGTCAAGCCTGTTCAGTCTATTTGTCGGAAAGGTGAGTAGGAAGTTCCCCCTCAATTCAGTCATTATCAGACTATCTCTCTGTTTAAAATTACGATTGTGTCTAGTATTTTTTAATGCCCGCGAATGAAGCTTAAAGTTTGCTTCTAAGACAATTTTTTTAATAAATTGTATACTGATCAATCATCTTCATCACATCTTAAAGAGTTTGGATTTTGGCCATACTGAAGTTTCTTACAAATTACTACTTTCTTGTCTATTTAATTGTGTTATAAAATCCTCCAGTGTCGGTAAATTTTCTCACTTCTACGGTTAATAATTGAATCACACCGAATCTTATTCCTCTCTCGTTGGACTTTTAAACTTTCTATGGGAAGGTGGTGTGGACTATTTCCTTTTCAGTCCACCTAAAAGATCATCACAGGCGCTTCTAGTTAATTTTTTTCTCGCAAATTTCTATTGCATTATTCAGGGTAGTTTATTTATGTGGAACTTGCCATCGTTGAACAGGTTTTCTAATTCACATCCACCATAGTCACAGAGGAGAAGAAATATCAAAGTTAAAAAGTGCATTTTTCGAAAAAATAATTTGGGCGTTAAAGGGTTAAATGAAGTCACAATTCTTACTTTTGTCTTCTTTTCAAATTGTTACTTTTTTAATTAAGTATTTTCTTTCCTTAATGTCTTCCACCTTTGCGCTGTGAGATTATGTAAAAAAAATGTATAAATCATATCACGCTCATGATAACGATATGCTATTGGGCATTTCACTCATCTGAGTCCCATTTTTTGCTCGGGTATATCGCCTTTTTAAATTATGATTTAATCAATGGGATTTATGTCATCTATCGACTGTATTAGACTGTCAATCTTTAAAGGGTGTTTTTTTATTTAATTATGGATTTGATTAGCTTAGGTTTTTACAAGGATGTTAACTAGTAATTTAATCTCGTGTATATAAATAGTTCTCCGTATGTGCTATTTCTTCACGTAATATAATCTTAAATTTTATCAAGAGGAAAACAAACGTTTTAGAAGTAACAATAGTGATGTAATTTACCATTTCAGCGTTTGGGTCTTTTGATAATCATCATCACGTCCTCAGTGTTTCATTGAGATACCTCATAGGTTTTTTTCTTTTATTATTACTAATATCGGAATATGGTGAACTTTTAGTGGCATGAAATAGTCTAAAAGAAGAAGAAACTGAGTAAAGAGAAATCAACTTCCAGTAGATGCATTAATTTATCCTTCCCTTTCTTCTTAGTCCTGCTGTCTGGACGCGCCTGATCATTGAAAAGCCTTTCGGCCGTGACCTTGAATCTGCCCGGCAGCTGTCCAGTCATCTGAATGGCCTCTTTACTGAACAGCAGATCTATCGTATTGACCATTACTTGGGCAAGGAAATGGTTCAGAATCTGCTCATTCTTCGGTAATAATTGAAAAATAGGGCCTTTTATCCTTCTGTTTTGCATTAACATATCCAGAACGTAGGTGTTGCATCATTTGCTGTGATACTCTTGGTTTTGTTATCTAAACTTGTTGATCTGATCGCATCATCAACTTGCAGAATTAATTAACCTAAAAAGTGATCAGGTAGACATTTTGTTTAGTCGGCCTGACATTGACCGAATGTTTGTGGATATTCTCCTAAGATAGGTTGAATTTGGTCGTTATATGTGGTGTGCCTGTGGTATATTGGTATCTTTTATCTGCCAATCTCACCGCTACGTAGAGGTGGTGAGTCCTTCGGGCTTTCTGCATTTCGCCCAACAGTATGGAAGAGGAAGTTGAATTAACAGAGCACATGAAGGTGCTTATTTTTTGTCAATGACCTATTAGATAATCACGTGACCACAAGGTAGTGTTTATGACTCCTGCTAAGACGCTAAAATTTTGTGTTTTGTCAGTAGTTAACATTAGATCTCAATAAGGAGACTCGTGAGCCAAATTCGCATCAATAGGGCACGTGCTTATGAGATTGTAAAATTTACTTCTAGGGCTCCAGGTCCACTCATTCTGCTCACCCAGTCAGTCTGTTTTATGTCACAGCCAACTTATTCTGTCATAATCAACGCTTCAATTTACCAAGAGCTCTAAATTTCTTTATGAAATCAGCGGTTTTTGATTGGTTCTAGGCTACTAGAGTTTTTTTGGTGGTGGTCTACGTGACATTTCATGAAGATCTACATTTTCGCAATCTCTGTCACTAACAGAATTGCCATGACAGGGTATTGTCGAACATTTTGGTACTCTTCAGATTTGCCAATATGATCTTCAGTCCTTTGTGGAATCGAGAGCACATAAGCAACGTGACAATCTCTTTCAAAGAGCCTTTCGGAACCGCCGGTCGCGGAGGCTACTTCGATAACTTTGGTGTTATTCGGTGAGTTGATTGTTCTCAATTTTTTAGTGCATATAAAAATGTAGGTGAAATTGACCCAGAACGTGTCCTAAGTACTCGAAAATTGGAAACTCGAAATCGTTCCATTCCTTTGCAATAATAATAATGTTTCATTCGTAATGCTAAAGCCTTGTACGATTTCATCAGGTTGAGACGTCTAACCAATGGATCGAAATTCTATTAGATTTGTCTTCAGGGCTGCTTCATTCTTTTCCTCGGAATGGTAACTTGAAAATTGGCAACTTCTTTTTCCGGGGGCTCCGAGTGTACTGGCAGTGTTTTGTTAGTCATTTTTTCCTCCAATGTAGTTGGTTCTTCTTTTTTGTGTGTTAGTGATGCTTTGTCAGTTACAAATCCGCTTTTTAGAATTATTTACCCATTTTATTAGTCTTCAAGTAAATTTTTCCCTTAATGTGGGTGCAAACTTGAGGCTTACCAGTTGTGAGCTTTTTATTATTATTGACTTTTATTAAAGTAGTCTTGCAGCTTTTTGTCTAATTTCCGAGCTGCCACTTAGAAATTCGTGGAATTTAGCGGCTTGAAAGTGTACATGGGGCATAGCTGTTGCGATCACCGGTAGACCGAGAACTAAGCAAGGAAGACACCCGGATAAATGATTTGATTTTATTGTGGCACTTAACGAAATGTGTCGTACTTGTAGTCAAATATAAGTCGTCTTAATGAAGAATGGATATGGAAGTAGCCTACTAGAGTAATTCTGTCGACTTTTCATGTTGCTAATGAACCTAGTTTTAATCTATTTAGCATTTAGAAGTCACAACTTTCGATTTTTTTCACAGAGTCTACAGCTTCCTGCTTAAATAGTTATTCTCGTTTTATTACTTTGAGCAGTTTCAACCTTTACTTGACATTGGAGTCTCCTATTGATTAAAAATTTATCAATAGTTATTTATGCCTCTGAATGGAATTTCTTCACACAGTCCAGTTTTGATTTTATTAACCCCCTTTGTAAATTTAGGTGTTTTGTTGATTTTTACTTGGCCTTCAGTTACTGGGATGTACTTTAAGCGACAATACATCCTCTGATTGTCAGTACAGACTTTCGTGAGTAGATTCTTTCAATATTGAAATTGCTCATAAGCGTGTTAAAGGTTCATTTTAAGTGGAGTCGATGGGATATTTAATTCAATCTCATTAATGAATGATCATTTTTGCGTTAGTTTATTTGACTGTTAAGTAGCTAAGTAACTAGGAGCTGAGTGTTTAAATAGTTTGAATTGAAATGTGGGACCCGAAATGTTGCATCAACTCGAACGTTTGTTTAACTGAGATTGAGACCTACTTAAGAGAATCCAATCGCACAAATTTGATACAAGTGAACCGGGGAATGACTGAATTGTAAAGATTCAATTCCAAGATATGCACTAGTTAAGGCTTTCCTTAAACCGGATTCAATGTTATTGCTAAAATGCCAAATCAAATACCTTCTTTGTGTTCAATGGAACACGCTGAGTTCACTTTGTGTATTCGTAAGTTCATCCCTCATGTACCAAACTATCGATCTTTTGTACTTCTATAGCCAAACGTTGATAAGCAAAGATTCTAGTGAAAAATACATCGCTGCAAATATATTGGCCAACCCGGTCAACCAGTCGTTTTTCCCAAATGCACTTTTGTGAAAGTACTTTTTCTCAATATCACAAAAATAGTGGTTTGAGACTTCAGGTCTTCATATTCACTCGAGACTGGGCAATTGAGCAAGCTATAATGGCTATGTTATGCCTTAATGTTTGCTGGCAATGGTACGAGGCCATGTAGAAAGACAGCAATATTGATAGGGGGTTTCTGATCAAGAACATTTGGGTTATTAACCATGTCAAATGTGATTATTATTGAGTCTAGATGCTTCTATCAAAAAACGTTGATCTTTATCTGTTTTCTTTGCATAATAAAATGTCACGATCTACCAAAATAATTAAATTTTCATTGATTTGTTTTTGTTATTGTCACGAATTAGTCTAATTGTAAATGTGAAAACTGGAGACGATCTAAACAAAAGTTCAAAGGCAGACTATCCTTTTATAACGTGATGGGTGTGCCATATTATTTAGATTAAAATGCATTTTAACCAGCGCCCGTTCAAAATTTGGTTAATTGTTATTTAAGTACAGAGGTCATTTCAAATCATGATTGTTTTGACTACTTCTGGCTACAAGCATACTTTCGATAACCACTTCTGAATAATCTTCACTTTTCTTAAATTCGAAAATTCGTCTTTCAAAGTTCTCTTTGTAAACTCCTCGTTTTCTTGAGACGAAGCGCTTTTATACTTGTGTTGGAGAAAAGCAGATATGAAGGCACTTTCGTTGCCTAATTATTGTTGGTCCCTTCACTCATTGCAATTGAAATTAGTCGATTATCGAGTTTTCTACTGATGTTTGGAAGTCCTGGTTTGAAATATCGTAGGTGTTGTATTTATGAAGATTTAGCATTATTCCTGGTAAAAAAGGCCATAAGGTTTCTTCCCGAAGACTAACGAGTGCATCTATCTCTTTATTCCAGTGACGTATTGCAAAATCACCTCATTCAGGTCCTTGCCCTTATTGCAATGGAAAAGCCGCTTTCTCTCGGCGCGGAGGATATTCGAGGCGAAAAGGTTTGACTCCCCCCCCCCCCCCCACATATCTGTAACTAGGTGTCGGTCGAATTTCCTCGGTAATACGTGTTACCCTCCGTCCATTAGGTAAAAGTACTGCGATGCATCAAGCCCCTGAAATTGGAGGACCTTGTGGTCGGGCAATACGTAGGAAACCCTGATGCCGACGATGAGGAAGGTAAACAGGGCTATTTGGATGATCCCACTGTTAACAAAGGTACGCAATCCTGTTTTATAATTAAATTTCACTCTTTTTTACACCTCCAACTACCGTAAAATAGCGTTAAAGACCACTAAATTAAATATTGCACTATTTCAAATTAAAAATGAGATATACACTATATTGTAGCCTTTCGGTCAAATGCGTGCTCAAATTTTAACAATACTACAACATGAATATTTTTTGCTATGATCACTCGTAATGCTTTTATTGTTTTACACTTTCAATCTACATTTGTCGTAGTAATAAACAGGTATTTGGTTTTTTTTTCTATTTTCACCTCGATTTTTTTACTAGTATGACGAAGACCTATTACAGCCCACTTTGAATTATTTTCATATCACACTACCTTACATAAACATAATGTGGATTTATCATTACTAGAATAATAAGTGAGGAAAAATATAATACTTTTTAGCTATTTTAATGTGAAATATTTATTTATATCAGATGGCAGACGTTTTGATGGCTATCATTAGCACTTTATTTGACTTCAGGCTTTACAGAGGGGATAGGAGGGACAGAAGAGTATTTCAACGATGTAAAAGAGACAGACACAAAGGTAGAAAAAGGTGAGGTGAGTACTGTGAAAGTAGTCGAATATGACATACAGTGGGGTGTTAGTAGCTTGAAGTCAGAAGTCAACTGCCAGTTTATAGAATTTTTTGCCGTATGAGTATACGTCGCCCAGGGTGCATCACGTGGAGGTAAGTCTATCGCACACCCCTAATATGAAATATAAAATGCAATAGTCTTTCCTTCATAAATGTTAAGATTGACTCGAATAGAGCAATTGCGGTGGAAGGGTTGGATTAGCTCATGTGATAATTAGTACTTCTCAACACTCAACAAAGTTAAACATATTTTTTAATCATGGCCTTTGCAAAGAATATTCATTCGGTATCTTTGAAGCTAAAAATAGGAGACATTGTATTCTTGACAATGATGCAGCCAATAAATCCCTGGACATAAATTTTGCATTAGTATTTAATTCCAAAATATTTATTTAGACCGAATGGCAGGCTTTATGATAGTTATCATTAGCCCAGGGAGGAACAGGGGAGGGGGAGGAACATCAAAATCACAGAAAGTCGAGAGGGGAATAGAAGAGTGATTCACAGATGTAAGAAACAGACACAAAGGTTGAGAAAAGGTAAGATGAGGTGAGTACTGTGGAAATGGTCGACTATAGCATACAGTGGGGTCATGGTATTTTGAAGTGAGAAGTCAACTGCCGGTTTGATAGACTTTTTTGCCGCATGAGTATACGTTCCCCAGGGAGCACCACGTGGAGGTAAGTCTATCACGCACCCTTCGATTGATTTATTAGGTTGGCAACTAAGTCATTGCCGATTTCAAATAAGAAGGCAAATTCTGAATTTTTGTTTAAAAATATAACTTTATTCAATTAGATATTGGCCGTTCTTGTCGATTACCTTTTTCCATCGTTCTGGCAGAGTAAAAATTCCCCGTTCGTAAAATGTCTGGTCTTTGCTATTAAAAAACTGAATTAGGTGTGATCCGACATCATCCGCGTTGTTAACAATTTTACCATTTAAAGAGTTTTGCATGGAACGAAACAAATGGTAATCCGAAGGCGCAAGGTCAGGGCTATATGGTGGGTGTGATAAAACATCCCAACCCAGTTCCAATAATTTTTGCCGAGTAACCAAAGATGTATGGGGCCTTGCGTTATCATGATAGAAAACAACACCCTTCCGATTTGATAATGCCGGCCGCTTATCTTCAATTGCATCCTTCTTTCAGTTTTTCGAGTTGTTTAACATACACATTTGAATTTATCGTTTGGTTCTGCGGCATGAGTTCAAAATACAAAATTCCTTTGTGATCCCACCAGACTGACAGCATAATCTTTTTTGGTGAATCTCTGCTGCTTTTGATACTGTTTGGGCTGGTTGATCTTGCTTCACCCATGATCTCTTGCGAGTAACATTGTTATAAACTATCCACTTTTCGTCGCCAGTAACTAGGTTCTTCAGAAATGGATCATTCTCATTGCGTTTCAGTAGCGGCGAATCACAGATGCTAATCCGTTGCGTCAAATGAATTTCCTTTAACTGGTGAGGGATCCATAAATCAAGTTTCTTGACATAACCAAGGGTTTTTAATTTTTTTCAATGCATGTATGCGACACATTGAGCTTCTCTGCAATATCTCGTGTTGTGCTGTGACGATTTGAATCGATAATGGCCTTGATATGGGTTTCATCCACTTCGACTGGGCGGCCAGATCGTTGTGAATTTTTCAGTGAAAAATCACCGGAACGAAATCTTTCAAACCAATTTCGACACTGCCTTTCTTTTAAGACTTCATCTCTATATACGGCACATAACTTCTTTGTGCTTGCGATGCGTTCTTGCCTTTTCGGAAGTAATACAATAAAATGTGCCTGGAATTGCACGTCTGTTCTTTATTTTAATATTAAGATAAAAACAAAACTAAAGAACTAAACAAAACAACATTTTTTACTAATTAACCTAGAAGCCCATACAGAAAGAAATTTTTTACTAATTAACCTAGAAGCCCATACAGTTAAAAAATATAGGTTAGATGCTCTGGCTACGTTAACAAAACATAGAGTGAATCTGTCAACAAAAACGGCAATGACTTAGTTGCCAACCCAATAGTATAATAACAGGCTCTCTGCAGCATTGCATGTACTACTGATATCAAAATCTACCCTATTCAAATAACCTATTTATTAAAAAATTATGCTTTTTATTCGTTGATTACTATCCTTTTTCGGTAGAGAATGTTTAATGTCCCAAACTTAACCAACTTAATGTGACTGCAAACTATGGTATTTCATATATTACTGTTATTATATTTTTTCATTTAAGTAGCACAGGTAGCAAATTATGCATCCCTTTTTCTATTGATTATTGCAGATTCAATCACTCCAACGTACGCATGCTCCGTTCTCTATATATCAAACGATCGTTGGCATGGTGTGCCCTTCATTTTGCGCGCTGGAAAAGGTGATTTTGATCGATTTTTTCGACATATTTATTTATATCAAATGGCAGGCGTTTTGATAGTTATCAATAGCCCTTTAGTTGACTTCAGGCTTCATAGAGAGGAAAGAACATCAAAGTGAAAAAGTCGAGAGAGTGGGGAGGGGGGCACAGAAGTGATTCAAGGATGTAAGAGATAGAAACAAAGGATGGAAAAAGGTAAGATGAGTACTGTGAAAGCGGTCGAATATTATATAGAGGGGGTGATGGTAGTTTGAAGTGAGAAGTCAACTGCCGGTCAATAGACTTTTTTACCGCATGAATATACGTTACCCAGGGTGCACCATGTGGAGGTAAGTCTATCGCACACCCCTTTTTCGACTTATAAACTTATCGTTTGAAGTGTTTTCTCTCGATGCTAAAAAACCACCTAGAGACAACATAAGTTAAGGAATGATACTTTAGAGGTGTTATTGCGTAGAGTGTAAGTGAAATGCCAATCCAATTTTTTGGGGTTAAATATGAGAATGGGCTGATGCAAAAAGACGCTGCACTACGCCTTTGAAAATGTTAGCATCGGTTGGTCTCATTTTCGAAAATAAAAGTGTCAAGTTTCAAAGAATAAATGACATACTATTTTCAATCATGGTTTACTTGTCTTTTTCATCATTAATCCCTTGTAGTAAATGTCTCGTTATTGATCTCTAATTAGTCTGCGTCCTAAAAGCGCCGGTATTTACTTGAGGTTCATAGGACTAAGTATTAGGAAAGTGGCAAGAATTTAGAGCTGAATTATAAGCTCAAAAATCTTTCCATAGTGCTGCTTTCATGCGCCATGAAACGAAGTGTAACTTTGTATATGCATACCGATAGGGTATTGCCAGTAGCTCATTAATTGAGTGTTCAAATGGGTCCAGAGGTCTTTTTGAGGAACTACGCCTTGGCTAAAACACATTTTGATATCTTCTCAACTTTTGAACGAGGGAGATAGAAGCGTTAATGCGAAGATCATGTTGGAGGTCTACTGCTTCCAGATGTCTGGATATCGCAAGTTGTACAATAACTAATATTTCCATTTCAGCCCTAAATGATCGCAAAGCGGAGGTTAGGATACAGTTCAAAGATCTAGCCTTTGACATTTTTGATAGGCCAAACCAAGGTGATACTCCCGTTGTCCGCAATGAGTTGGTCATTCGAGTGCAGCCAGGTGAGGCAGTCTACTTGAAAGTCATGACCAAACGACCTGGTATGAGCTTCATTCCTGAACAGACGGAGTTGGATCTTACCTACTCTTCTCGATATGAGGTATTTTTGGTGTCTACTAAGAAACTCTCTCTCTCTCTCAAGTTACCCACTAATTTTATTGCTTCTTAACGTTTTTTGGACGAAAATGGACTAGTCACTAATAAGGGCTACAATGGTGTAATAGTAGACTGCAAGTGGCGAATAGGTTTTCAAATACTACATAACTCAAAGAAAGTTGAATTTCGTTGAAACGGGTCGAAGCCTGTCACCTAATCAATCTGCAATCTTCCGGCAATCCACGGGCCTCCAATCTGATCTTTGCCTGATTTAAGTGGAGAATGAAGCCTAATAGTCACCAGAGTCGCCTAATTTGTTGCCACACTAATAAATGTAAAGAAGGGGCAGTATTGCAGTTGTTTCCTGAGCTTTTTTTATTGCCTGTGAAGTGGCCAAGAATATGAGCTAAAAGTGTGTTCTGTGTCTAGCGACCAAACCGATTTGGTTCTTACGCTTCTACGCGGTTATTGAATTTCCAATCATCCACCGCCGGGTAAGGTAAAAGGTTCCGTATGAATATATCAAGGTGAATTAATATTATACTTTTAGTTGAAAGTATAAAATGTATAATATTACGAATGACAACTTTGTTCCCAGAAAATTTGAAAGTGTTTGCCACGAACTTTTGAATCTTCTTAGGTTCATTCTCATTCTCAGTGCTAATCCTTCTATCTACTTTTGGATGTAAAAAGTTGCCTATGATTCGAATCGGTATGACTAATCATCCATCTAAACCAATTGATCATCAAGCTCTGAATGTCTTGGATATAAAATCCTTAGATCAAATCCTAAAAAAATAATATTTTGGAATTACAAAGTGAACACTACCATTTTCTAGAAATTGTTATAGGAAATTAAGTAAGCTAAGAGTCTTAATGCCCTAGCATTCAAATGTGAACCTATTTACTCCCTTTGTGTTCATTTTTAAAGACGATCATCTAATCTAAGAAAGCTTTCTTTATGAAATTGCACAGGAATTGGCAGTTTCATAGTCCGTTTGATCAAGCAATTCCATAATGCAAGGTCTATAAAAGAAATCTTTCCATAAGATCAACCCATTTATAGATCAGGATTAATTAACTTGGTTACCATCTTACCTAAAAGTGTATTATCTGGGATTAATTATGAGAGTAGATAATTTAGTCAGGGGATTGGCGGAATGGGGCCTTTGACTTCGTCAATAACTAAAAGTCTAGAATGGTTTAGACTCACAGAATGAGAAAGAACGCCTATGGAGGTATCGTAATAGACTGCTTTGTGGAATATGTGAGCCGCTGTTTTCAAATCAGAAGTTTTAAAGTAGAGAGTAATCAAATTATATTGCCAAACGGCAATGAGAATTCGAGGGAGAGATGGGGGCCGGGAAAATGGGAGGAAGGGAAATTAGTGGAAGTCGAGCGTTCACATCTACAGCCTTCTAATCACCATATCCTCAATATTAGCGGATGACTCATTAGTTACCGCGGCAGTGGCTATTACGTGGTGATAATCAATGTTCTCCAAATGTAAATTGAGCGCGGTTCCAAATAACTAGAGACCTACGCGTAATTTTTTTCCTCATAGCGAATAAATTCAACTTATGCCAGCATAGCCAAACAGCAACTATAGAACAGAAGTATAGAAAAAGTATGAACAGAAAAGTGTGAATACTACATGTCCGCATCATCGGTTTAAAACGATGCTGTTATCTGGGAGTTTCACCCGTCGGTATATATTTCAATCTGTACCTTTTTAATTAATTACCTCTATATCTTCAGGATCTCAAATTGCCAGACGCCTACGAACGTCTCCTCTTGGATGTTTTCTCAGGTTCTCAGACCAACTTTGTTCGTTTCGATGAATTGGATGAAGCTTGGCGAATCTTCACTCCAGCGCTGCAGGAGTTGGAAACCAAGAAAATCAAACCATTCCCCTACAAATACGGCAGGTAAGAAAGTCTTATTTATAGTCCAAGCATTTACCTGCTTAATCCAGTGTGCCTCACTCTCTGTTGCTCTACGTTTTATAGGTGACTTTATTTACCTATCAAAGAGGTAGAGCAAACACAGCTTATCTGGGATAGATTTCATAGAATACTATTTGGTTGTTTTTCCGGGTTGCTTTAAAGGTGTGTTTCACGCACACTACGATTCCTTTAAAAATTCAAACTCTCCTTCGGTCATATGTTTGATACCAACGGAAATATCTGACTAGATCCCAAGTAAATCATGAAAGAGATTAATTTGTATCAAGAGGACTTGTGCTGAACAACAAAATAAGTAGGTTTTGCTCCTTGTTCAACGCTCTGAAAAGGTTCTGGCATCAACTAGAAATCTTCAATGAGGACTACGAGGCTGCTCTGGCTAGAAGGTCTGCTTGTACTCTCACAGTCGAAGAAACTTCTGAGAAATTTGAAAAATCATAAACAAGTTTATTCTTTTCCGATGAAAAGAATTTTCACCTTGATCAATGATCCAGTACACAGAATAATAGATGATTTTAATAGCATATACTTCAAAGCACGCTCCTCATGTCACATGGATTAACAAAGGTGGGCAATGATAGGCCAGCTTTAGGATTTGGTGGTGTTTCTCTTGCCCCATATCTCAGGGAAAAAAAGTAAAACGATTGTTAACCTCATTAGTCAGTTAGACTTGTGTGTACATGTATGTAGCGGATGCTGTCTAGCTCCTAAAGCCAACCAGTTAATAGGCAAAATGAAGGCGGTTTTTTGATGCCCTTCCTTGTTTATTTAGTTTATCTTGAATCGATTGACTTTTGCAGTAGCCTACTTAGCCAATCCTAATTACAACTTTTGTGTATAGAACTGTTAGACATTTCGCTTAGGGATCAAAAGTATCCTATTCCACATCTATTCGGATTCCTCGTTAGTAAACAAGTATTTGGCTAGATTGGGAAGAGGTGTTTTATCGTATGATGCCTGTTTTTTTAAATTTTTTTTAAAAATGCTTCTACTCCTTTGTTTCTCAAATTCTGAGACCAATGAACGGTTTCAATGTAGTACTATATTTGTCGTTTTTCCACGTTCAAAGTTCATATTAGTCGCGAATGGAAAACACTGGGATGCTATGCTGGTATTCCAAATTATTCTCCTGTTCTCTTTTAAAAGCACTTTAATTCGTTGCTCTCACCTGGAATCTCTATTATCCGGTCTCATAATTACATTCTTTTTCGCGAATGTCTCCTAAGTTATTATAATTAAATTATCTAATCTTTTTCAGTCCCTTGCGGTCTTCTTTCCTTATTGTTCGAGGCCTTATGAACACCATTCTTTCAGACCGCCACTGCGGAGTGTCTGTGTCTATGGCACAACTGTAGATTTGGGTCTGTATTCGAGGTCTCGGCATCCGTGTTTGGAGAATAAGTAATATCCAACCGCGCAGAATGATTGATTTCTTGCGTTGAATTGAGCAAGAAAAGTGAGATTTTCTTAATTAAGGAGCGACAATTGCACAGTGACTGTCTTTGTTCTGTAAATATTAGTTGATACAAATGATCACTCCCTCTACCTAATCTTGATTGACAAGAGAGATGGTGATTTCTCATTAGGGTGGCTCCACAATACCTTTCATTTAAGTTTTTCCAAGGGGTCGGAGAAATTGTAATTATTGTTTTTTCACACATTTTGTAATACGTAAGGGATTTAAATAATTTCTTTTTACAATTTCTAAATAAATTTTAGTCGAAATGGTCCACCTGAAGCAGACGAACTGATGCGTCGAGTTGGCTTTGTCTACTCAGGTGTCTACCGTTGGAATCCAGCAAGAGTAACTGGCAAGCTCTCCATGGATGCATCGGTCTAATCGCGCACATTTCTTATGTGATTCACTTCATTCCCGATCGTGTTACCCTTAGACCAAACACACAAAATTAACATCTTAGTACTTAGTTTAAGCAGCTCTTTCCCCTCTCACATCCCATCAAACTATTGCAATATCGAATTTTCTTATTTTCATTTTAATGATTTAAATACAATTCCTTTATTGTCTAAATACGCGTTGTTTTTATTGTGCTAGTTTGGAAAAGGGGAATTTTGTGTGGCGAAATGAAGTTTTTTTGTGAATTTGAATATCTAAAACTGTGTTTTGTGCTGAAGACATCATTTGGCTCGAACATTAAAGAAAGTTAGGTCTGTCAGCTTTTGACATACTGGCAACACCAATATTGCCTTCTCTTGATACTTTTTACGTGAAATCAAGTCAATCAGGGGTCTTGAATAGGGGGG